GACGACGACGACGCGTCTCTCTCTCTCTCTCTCTCTCTCTCTCTCTCTCTCTCTCTCTCTTCCCCCCCCCCCTCTCCCCCTCTCTCTCTCGACATGGACACGGACATCGCTCGGAGCTCGCACCCAGGCTCGCCGTCCAGTGAAAGTATCAGATGTTGCGCCGCATGAAGAGGAAAGACGTTCTGAGTCACATGCGAATCGGATCGACGAGTGACGCATCCGCGGATCGAGCAGCGATAAGCGGATAATTCTCGCGAGGCGACGGCCTCGCGCAACGCATGGACTCCGTCCATGTTCGTACGCACGTGTGTGTTTGCGTAACGCTCCGCTGACGAAGCATGCATTTATCCTTAAAGCCGTAAGACCGCATCGAGAAGTCGCGCGGAACGGCGATGGAGCTCTTTACGAAAATGTCAATTACACCGCTCATCGGTTATTCTTGAACGTTGAGTTTCAACAGTGCTGTTTCGAGGATATCAGTGAATCGAGGATCGCGGTGGATGGATTTTATCGCCAGTGCGAGTTCCACATACCGTGTTTCACATACCGGTGATTCGAAAAGATGCGCCGAAAGATGCAACGGCTGTGCATCTCGCTGCTGACTCTGTCAGTTTTAACCGGAGCCCGTCCGGATAATAGGTACGATCAGACATCGATTTACTACACGGAACCGACGAAGCTGATGAACACTAGCGGGGCGTACAATAATTGGAACAACGGCGGTCTTTACGAGCTTCACGACGGCCGCATTGTCCGAGGTCAGAGATTGTTGTCGAGATCGAAGAGCCCATACTTGCTGCGAGAGGATCTGTTCGTCGAGAGGGACGGCGAGCTCGTCATAGAGCCTGGCGTGGAGATTCGTTTCGGCCCAATGGTCGGCATCACCGTCCGCGGTATCATAACCGCCGAGGTAATAGTTTCATAAAAATCCATGATAGAATCTGCAAAAAGTGAAGTGATGCCCGCTCCTCTAGAGAAAGTCAAGCTTTGTTCACCGAGACAAGAACAAAGGCGATCGTCCGTCAATATTCCTAAACCGCATCGCTGATGCCAAAGTTTTTCTAACGATACCTTTTTCTAGAATACCTGCAAAAGATATTTAATAACGACTGTTAGAAATTTGTCATTAAGATAAGATAGGAAGTATCTTCGGTTAAGTACATTTTCGAAGAAAGATAAGAGAATATAAGAGGATTAAACGCTATACGCTATATATAACGGATTAATTAGCTCGCTCAAAGCACTTTACGTTTCGGTAAAAAATCGCTGTCGATGAACGACTCGCATCCTGCTAACCATCATCTTATCGTACATTGTTACGCCTGTTCCAGGAGCAGGCGATAAACATCGTGCGAATAGCCTTATTCGCTGTGAAGATCAGTACCGTCGCACGTCGCGGTGCGCGAACAGTAGATTTTCCACAACCTTTTGTTACTTTTGTTTGCTAATGTTTGCGCTCTGCCGAGGTGTACGGCCAGATCGAGGATTACGTTTTCTCAGAGCGGGTCATTCTCGGGCGTACGTCTTATTGTGCCTCTAAAGAATTCCAAAAAAATTATAAGATACTCATTAAAATTGAATTCAAACATCAACTAAACTTGGTTTTTTAGTCTTAAATACTCTCAATACAAGTGTATTGTTCTTTTTTTTATTTAAAAATATAGTGTAAAACGAGATACATTTGTATCTCGTTTTACATTATATTCTTAAATAAAAAAAAGAACGACAAATAAAGGCTTCGATGATTGAAAAAAGGATAGGTGCATAAAAAGCCAGATCTTTGTGCTTAAAGTAACATTTATGCTCGTACGTATCTCCAACGTAGATTAATTTTAATCTCGGTTCAATTTACTCTTCATCTTTTTCTAGTTCTAAGAATTAGAAAAAGATGGAGAATAAGTTAAACCGAAACGTTGATGGAATCAGACATTAATCACTATCTTATGTTAAACGAACATTTCGATCTTACATTAGGTCATCTTCTACAAAGTTTTTAAAAATATATATGGTAAAATTATAAAATTAAAATTACATCTTAATAATATATTTTTAATTCTGCATCTATGTGAAAAGAGAAAAATTGTATATGAAAGTATTTAAAGTGTTGCTACAGAAATTCTACGATTTTTATGCACAGAGTAACGCGAGTTTAGCGGATAATTGCAGACAATATCTTTACAGCGCGAAGAATATCGATGAACGTGTGTATGTACATACGTGTGACGTTGAATGGACCTGAGTCACCGCGCGTGCACGTATTTTACTACATGCACGCGAAAGAAGGATCGACAAATGAAAGACAAATTACTAGTTCTCAGAAAGCCGCCGTGAATTGCGATTCCAGCGAAATTTCGACATTAGACGTAAGAAATTCAAGTCAAAAACCTCACGGTATATTATTACCGGTAATAAAACCCTGCTACCTGGGTCTGCCGAAGACTCGGTTACACTCATTTACGGCGAGAATCGATAGCGCCGTTGATAGCGTTAACTGATAATAAGATTAAAGTCATACGTTATCAGCAAAGTTTCATAATCAAAGTTAGAAATGAATAGTGCGGAGTAATATGTGGAGGTATATGATTTATAATTACAGATATATCATTTTCTACATGTCATTTCTGCGATTTAATAATTACGAGATTTAATGTGTTTGGTCTTTTTAAATTGTGTAAATGTTATTGCAAAAATTGCGACATGTAATCTCACGTGTTCTTTTAAATATTCGAAATTTTATCTCTAAAATCCTCTCGCATATACGAGATAATCTTGTCACTCGCCCGACTTTAATACATTCTTGTGTGATTATGTGTTGGTGTGATTATGATCATAATTAATTAATGTAATTGTCGAATGTCTCTATTTCGGTTGGATGCACGTTGACTACTTATTGGACTACTTGTCGATGTTTGTCGATGATTTATCGCGCCTTTTTACCAACGAGTCGAGTCATCCGTGTATTTTCCGGTAAAGTGATTTTTACGAGCGGCGATTAAAACCAAAAGTTATCACCCTGAAAAAATCAAACAGTAATAACTTGATATCTCGAGCGACGACGTAATTTGATAATTGCAAAATAGAATATATATTTTTGTATTAAACTTTGCATTTCTCTTAAATCTCTTAAATCATTTCGAAATATCTCGAAATTTGTTGTAATTATTTTCTAAAATATATAGAGAAAAATAGTAATTAGAGAAAAAGGCGGATAATAGCCGTTTGACAATACAAAGAATATTTCTTTTTAATTTTCGCGTCTTGTCAAAAAGATAACGTCGGTTATTTCGGATAATGGCTTCTTTTGTTCAGCAGTAAAGGTAGAAGTAATTTTATGAAATAAAGAACATCGCGCTTTACTCCAGTCCGGTAAATGTAATCACGAAAGAATGCAAAGCGATGGAATCGGACGACAGGATCCTTTCGCGCGCGGAGCGGAGGACACCGGAAACGCCACGGACACGCGAGCTTGACTCGTTGCTTTTATTGTTGCATTATTGGTGTGGACGTATTGGTAAAATAGGAGGCGCGCACCTATGCGTTAATGCTCTTAACAGATGTTATTAGGTATTATCTCGTTGCTATTTTAATTGCTGGTTGTGTCCAACGTAGTAATTTTAAAGAGGGCACGCGCACTCGACCATTCCCGACAGACATACAACACGTTGTAATCGTCGGAAAAATATTTTAAATAATTAAATTACTGACACCTTAAAGACGAGTTAAATACGCGATATTTAAGTAATTTATAAATAATGAGAGAAAAGTGTTGAAACGGATAAATTATCAATTTTGATATTCAATAAATCCAGGGTTGGGTAATTAGTTAAAAGTTAATAACTCAACTTAATTTTTAAATCAAGTTATAATTTTAATTTTAATTAATTTATTTTTAAAATATAAACTTTAACTTATTAACTTTTTTCCTAAGTTAAAAATTTATTTATGTAGGAGAAAAAATTGTAAAAGAAAAACCTATTTCCATATAAAAGAAACAATATCACTTTATTATTTCATATAAACTTAATTTACAAATAAAATACTAAATTTATTTGATGATTCATATCGTAATTATTTTATTATTTATAATATTTTAATTTAAAAAAAAATTATAATATTCTACTTTAATATAAATAATGCTTTTTAAAATTAACTTTTAATTTAACTGAAATTAAGTTAATTTAAACGCAATTTTTAACTAAGTCAGTTTTTTGTTCATGTAACTTTTAACGTAACTAAATTAATTTTACAAGTCAGTTGTCAGTACTACAGTTTAAGTTTACAGTTTTACATTAATTTTAATTTAATCAAAAAATAATATTAACTTATTCAACCCTGAGTAAATCATCTCTATAATTAATTTAAGGAAATAAAAATATAATGCTCATCTTTTCAGATTTAAAGAAATTCCCTTAATACACTCGTAGCCAGATAAAAGATAAAAACGATTAATTTATTAAGAGGCAAACGTTCCATTGACGCTCCATTAGCATCATATATTTATGTTACCTGCTAACAGATTGTGAAAAATCGTCGAGCGCTATCGCTAATAGAAAAAGACGTCCTGAAACGCTCGGAAGCGAGCAAACAGTTGTTCTAATCTCTGTAAATGGATACTTCTTATCCATACGGTTCCGCCGGTCGAGGTCGGTCGCCGAGGGGTCCGCAGAAAGTAGCTAATCGGATAATTAAGAATGGGATGCGAACAACGCGTGCACTCGTACGACCGAGTACGAATGATTCAGCGACGACACCGCCTCTAATGCTCCAAGCGATGCGTTTCAGGTCACGCGTCAACCGCGGCGGTTCTTGCCCCGGCATGATTGACCCACGACCTCGGTAAGCCTCTTATAGACTGGACGTAATGCCGAGACCTTCGGCACCACTCTTGGCACAGATCATGTGGACAGAAATTTTTCAGTCTTTAACGCGACAGCCTCTCGCTCCGAAGGAACGTGAATGTTAAATCAAATGAGAAGGAATTTGCGGCCTGGAAATCACATCTGTGATCTTCAAATATAAATATATCTTCAAATATCCTGCTATTCCTTTCTAGCCTGAGCGTATCTAACATGCCAATATAATTAAATATTAAATTTAGAATAGGAACTGTGCAGTGTATTATTATTATTATTATTTTGTTTTATTTTTATCCAGATTCGAGTCCTGGCTGAGATATTTTTCGCAATAAGAATTTCCAATAGGGGAAAGAGGAGGATTGATTAATTTCAAATTTGATTATCGATTTATTAAAAACTAGCTTTGATTAGTTACTGCGTCTGTTAAAAAATAATGACGTAGTTCGCGATATAAATAATTAATTTCGAATTTATATATATATAAAATTTAAATATATATATAATTAATATATATTATATATATATATATATATATATATATATATATAGATTTGATAAAGAAAATTATCAGATTCCTAAGATAGAGTTCGCCGAATTATTAGTTTCTTTTTTATTGTGACGGTGAATGATCTTTCTTGCGAAAAGTCTTATTTCAGTTGGAACGACGCTATTTCAAGTTGGAACGACGATAGAAAAATAACGTTCAACTTGATATTAATGATCGTTAATTCTGTTGAAAGGGCGAAGCACACGCGCCAATTCTGCTGACCGCGGTGGAAGTAGAAACGCAAGTTCCGGCACTTCGAACATCACCCACGATACGCCTTGTTGACGGACCGAGTCCACTAGCTGGAAGGCTGCAGCTCCTTCATCGAGGTACCTGGCGTTCCGTCTGCACGAATTCGCGAAAGTACGTAGCCAACGAATGTAATCGACTACAATGAAGATGCCGATAGATATATATCACGCGAATCTCTCGTTGCAGTTGGACTCGCGCGGATTTGGAGACAGCGTGCCGGCAGCTCGGTTATCAGGGCGGTCAGTGGTGGTCATGGATCGACAGACAATGGCCATCCAAGCCGCGTCTTCTCTACGAGGAACCAGGCTGTCGTGGCACCGAACCCTCGCTGATGACCTGCGATCGTTGGTCAGAGAGAGAATTAGGCGCCGGGGTTTGCGGTGAGTATTTGCTTGATTTCTTCAGAATTCTTCTGTATGTGTGTGTATGTTTGAAGCTTCTAGAATGTAAATTTTATTGTAAGAATTATGATTTATAATCAAAGTTAGGTAAGTTAATATTGTTTTTTAACTAAATTAAGTTAAAGTTAATTAATAGCTTATAAAATTAATTTAGTTACATGAACAAAAAGCTAATTCAAAAATTGCGTTAAAATTAAATTAATTGAAGTTAAATAAAAAGTTAATTTTAAAAAGCATTATTTATATTAAATTAAAATGTAATTTTTTAAAATTAAAAGATTCTAAATAATAAAATTATTACAATATGGATCAAATAAATTTAATATTTTATTTGTAGATTAAGTTTGTATGAAATAAAAAAGAGATATTGTCTTTTTTATTGGGAATGCACTTTTTCTTTAACAATTTTTTCTTCTACATAAATAAATTTTTAACTTAGGAAAAAAGTAAGTTAAAGTTTATGTGTTATAAGAATAACTAATTAAAGTTATAAATAATTCATTTAAAATTAACTTAAAGTAAATTTTAAAATTAACTTAAGTTAAAAGCTATTTATTTTTTAACTTTATTAGTTAACTTTTAACTTTAACTAATTACTACCCAATCCTGTATATAACATATGTTACTTTAGCTTTTGATTATACATTAATTATAAACATAATTACTAGATTATCATCCGGATCTGGGTATCTCTTGTCTACCTCGTCACGACGGTGCGACCAAAGCGATCAAGCATTGGCGAGGAATACGATTTGAGGACGCAGTATACGATAGACAGCTCATTCAACAGAATACGCTTTACGTTCGTCAGTCGCGATCCATTCTGCGGAACACGGTGATCGAGTGTGTATCTTTAAGAAGATGTATATATGATAAATGCGCGCGACTCTGTTCTTCTTTAATATATTTATTAAAATATAGCATAATTAAAACTATTTTAATTTTGTAAATAGATACGCTGGGACCGGGAGGGAATACAACATAACGTCGGCGATTCACGTGAAAGGCGTGCCACCGAGAATGGAATCGATTTCTGTTCTCCATTCTGCCCTCACGGGTATCAACGTCACCACGTCGGACGCACCAGTTGTGATAAATAATTGTACTATACAATATAATCGAGGTAAAATACAATTATTTTTTTTCTCATTTACTATATTCAAATTTTTTATTTTTAATGCGAATATTTTGTCAAATAATATAATGTTATGGATTTATTTTAGGATATGGAATTTATATAAATAGCTCAATTGGTATGGCGCATATCAATAATTGTACGGTGCTCGAAAACGGAGCAGACGGAATAAAGTATATACACTTGGATGAACGACCGGATGATAAACTGGACCGTAACGACGTCTACGACTTGTGTACCTTTCCAACAACGGCTAGTCAAACTTTCCCCGTCACTATATCTATGGAACAGAATAAATACGCACCTAATGTAAAACGATGTCCACAAGTAAGTATGATTTGTTTGTCATTAATAAAATACACTGCATTTCACACACATACACACACACACACACACACACACACACACACACACACACACACACACATACATACACACACACAGTCATGACGCATCAATATTATTAATGAGTGCCAATAATATTATTCAGCACATCTTTACGAGGTCGGGCCATGTCTTGACAGTGCACTTCCTGCAAATGAAAACCGACAGAAACGATAGCGCCATCATAGAAGTATACGATGGTATAAGCAGAGCGGAGAAACTCTTAGCCAGTGTAAAAGTCAGAAATGGAACGTTACCGCAGAGTGTGACCTCGACGCGTCACAATCTCTTCGTGAAATTTATTGCCGAACCTCGAACGAACACAATTGTATTTGTGCGAGTGTCGTCAGGTTACAGTAAGTTTAGAAGAATTTATGCGAATTTCTTCTCTTAATTTATTTAAATTGATAAAAGATATCTAATTTCTTTTTTTTACAGAGAAAACATGTGATTTAAACGTGACTAGCAGTATAATAACGGGCAATAATGGCCGTGGCATCGTCGTGGAGAAGCTGAGATCCGCCTTGCACATCCATGAGACTTCAGTATCGAATAACGATCATGTGGCGGGCGTACATGTGCTGGGTGGCGCGATGGACGTTAATATCACCGATAGCCGTATCTCGTTCAACCAAGGAGACGGCGTTAATATCACCGTTACAGGCGGCAATTGTAACATATCACGCAGCAGTATATCATCTAACAGCGGTTATGGCTTCGTGGTATGGTTAAACGATAGCCTCTCCACCGAATACGTATATTTCAATCAGTCGACTGTGATCGAGTACTCGCAGATATTTCGCAATAAGGACATCGGTGTTCTGGTAAGCACATAATTTATGATTATAACTATAATTGGTATATACGAGACGTGGATTCACATCGATATGTTTTCGATCGACAGATCGGCAATTCAACCGGCAACTCGTATGTGAATGTAACTGGCAACTGGTTTAACACGAGTCTTGAAACAGCTCTGCAAGTGGAATCTAGTTGGAGGAAGGACAATGGATTAATGAGAGTTCAGATCGGGCATAACTTGTTCATAAAAAATGCGAAATTAGGAATTAAGCTTAGCCCAGCGCTTAATCTCGATGCTGTTATAGAGTACAATCATTTCAGAGGTCAAGCGAACGGCGCGATTCTGATAAAAAATCCTCTTTACGAAGAGTTTAATGTCTTGCCCGCAGATGTCGTGATTCGACATAACGAGTTCTATAACAATCGGGGTACCTTTGTAGTCAGCATCGGTTTATCACCTTACAATGACGCGCAAAAATTATTGTTCACAAGGAATTTTCTGCGAGAAAATCGTGTTCGGGAGCTGTTTGACAACGGCGATATGCTAAATATCAAACTGATACCACGCTCCCGGGTAGCCGCTGTCATCGTCATTTCCTCGGGCAACGTCGAAGTTTTTCGTAATATTTTATACAATCCCGAGTCACGTTACGAGATCGGCTCTCATTTAGAAGATCAGAGTAAAGTTATCAATTGTACATATAATTGGCTAGGATCCGGAGAAGAGAAGAGGATATTTGATCGATTATTTCACAGGTACGGTCTCATTGTATTAACATTTTTCTCAAATCTTGCGAATAGTAATAATAACGAGACATAAATATATTTTCTTATTGTTCAGAAAGGACAGATACAATCTAGCGAAGATCGAATATCTGCCATACTTGTTGCACAGCAGCAATCCTGGTGCGAATACCATCATCCCAAATCCGACGTTTGTGCCGCAGTTTGTTACGCCTGGCACGAATCTAGTCGGGGGTGAGGTTGACGGCCAAGAGGAACTAAAAGCCGGAGAATACATCGTCGAACGTGATATCAATGTAAGACCAGGCGGCAAGCTAACGTTGCAACCGGGCGTTACATTACGCTTCCCACCGTCCGTGGGAATGATGGTCGCTGGTAAATTCGACGCGCGCGGCAAAGGGCCCAGCGATATCTTGTTCACTCTCAAGGAGGAACTCGCTGTGTTACCAAATAACGATACTCTCGCGATGGAAAATACGATTCAAACTGATGAGACGGAATCCGTGCCAGTGAGACTTCTCGGTGGAAAGACGAATCTCGAAGGGAGACTGCAGGTAATCAATTTTTCCAAATCATTTTTGACCTAAACCTTGTATCTAAAGAACTAAATTTTATCAGTCTTATTACAAGGAACAGAACTTATTAGTTTTATAAAAATAATAATAAACATTCAAATGTTGAAATTGAAAAAATTGTAGTCTATAATCATCTTTTTGTTCTGAAAGATAAAAATTGAAAATAAATGGGGTACTGTGTGTAACTATGGATGGACGATTCTGGATGCGGCGCTGGTTTGTCATCAATTAGGCTTCGTCCTCGACTTTGAGAATTGGCTTATGGAGCGAGCGCAAATTCCGAACGCGGGAATCAACGAGGATATACTCCTCAGCAATGTTCGCTGTACCGAATATGACAATGATATAACTAAGTGTCGGGCGGAAAGGGAACAGGATTTCGAAAACTCATGCACTCATGCGAACGATGTTGGCGTCAGATGTTTGGAAGCGGCATGGGCGGGACTCAGATTGGGACCACTAGCTCAAAGAAGCGACTTGCAATACTTAACGATTGAAAAGGCGGGCTTGTTAGATTATAAAACAAATTCGTTCAAGCCAGGTAATTCCGTAACTTTTATAATAATCGGTCGATCGAATATCACACTATACGAATAACGTTGTAACATAATTTATATTCTATGACAGCTTTGCAAATCGACTTTGCTCGGCATTCCCTGGACGGTGTGAAGATCTTTAATAATCTACAAGATGGCTTGGGAGTTTTATATTCGGACATATATTCGGCAGATGCAATAAATACCGTGACGAATAGCGACTTCTCTCAAAATGGAGGGAATGGCATCAGCTTCAAACAATTAGGCATGCGGATAATCAACTCGCGAATCGAAAATAACAAGGTCGCAGGAATAAGGCATAATCCTGCTCTCTCCGCTGTTCAACAGAGAGAATTCGCAGGCTGGTTCCTTCACGCGCCGGACTACACGATCGACTCGCCGTATAATCCAATAATCTTACCGGAAATGAACGAAAATATCGAACTCGCTAACGGAGAAACCAAATACATCATAACGACTAAAGCAATTGACAAATTTATCCGTCGTACTATCGACATTAAAGTAAGTACTTCACTTCATCACAAAATGCATTTTGTTATGCTGCATTATGCCATAGTTAAAGCTCTTTAATTTTCAAAAAAACAGCAATAAAGTGATAAATGTATTTAAAAAATATCATTTATTCAAAAATAAATTATATATGTTGTTAGTTTTCTTCAATTAACCAACTTTGAAAAGAATTTTTATATTCTGAAAATGATTATCATATTTTATGCGTTTTCTAAAACGTCTATATATCGAGAAAAATTTTGGTGTACGATAACTTTTAAATTTATATGTTAAGTACGAGTCTAATAATGATTTGGATGTATATAACTTTTGTTATTTTTAAAAATTAATATTGAAAATGACTTGATTCAAATTAAAATATTTGTTTTTGAATCAATGAAAAATTAAAAAATTCTGTATTAAAAGCTAACTTGACTCAAGCTAACATATAGTCTATTGTTTGATTTTAATCTTTGAGCCTTAATGTTTTCTTATTTTATTTATTTTTTAAATTTCATTTTAAACTAAATTTTAATCTAAATTATAGTGCACGCCAGGCTATGTGATCGGTATCCAGCTACTGAACCCAATAGAGAATCGAAGTACGGAACAGATTATACTTCACGATTCACAGCATTTTGACAAGAATCAGACCATTTGGCATGTAAAACGAGATCTGAGTGTTTTTCCCGTTTCATCCAGCTCCTTTGTAATAATTTTGGAATACGAGAGTGGTAAGAATGCCCTTGGTGGAGCTGTTATGGTCGTTACATCGCTCTTAGCTCCAATACAGGTATGTTTTAATGTTAATATTTAGTAACATAATGTTCTATAAAAATGTTATTAAAAATATTACGTAACATGATTTTTTATAGTCAACATTACCCTTACGTTTGCAGAATATTCGCAATAAAATAGTCAGTGGCCCTATTCCTTCACTGATAGTCACAAAGACAAGGATCAAGAGCAATCAGAAAGGCGTGCTCGCATCCTACTATAATCGATATCTGAATGAGATCGGAGATCATTTCTTACGAAAAGCTAACGAAACCATTCAGCTGATTGGATGTGAAATATCGCACAATCATGAAGAGGCCATTTACGTGTATTCGCCGCATTGGAATATCTTCCAATCCAACCTGTCCGAAATCTCGATTCATATAAACAATAGCTTGATCACAGACAATGGTAAAGGGATACATCAATTTAGCCGCGATGCGAGACACTCCAACAATCTCTTCCATTGGATAATGCAGGATAGCACCATTGAAAGAAATCACGGCGGCGGATTTGAGGTCTTGCTACCGGACGTCTGGGAATATAACGAGAACTTCACGCATTCTCTATACTTCGGAAACAACACTTGGCGTAACAACGAACAGTTCGGTTTCGTGGTGAACGGACATTTTGCGCATCTTAACATGTCCTACAATCATTTTGATAACAATCGCTGCAAGACTGGTCTAATATCCGTGCGCGGAATGGAGAAGAGAATCAGAATCGACAACAATCATATCGAGAGTAACGTCGGCACTTACATGATCGAGTTTCGGGTGGACAGTCAGTCCGAAATCCTCGGTGATGTCTATGCGCGTTTTTATTACAACGAGATCAAGCGGAACGCGTACGACCTCGTCGGCATGGGACGACGCCGAATGTTCGACGATCCCAGTTACGTCGTCGGTTTTCATGGTATACAGAAAGTACGGGTGAATAGAAATCTCTTCGGCGAGAACTCGCTGGATTACGAGTTATTGGCGGGTATTAAGACGGCCAAGATCAATAATGAAGTGGATGTCATGGAAAATTGGTGGGGTACTGCCAATGACACCAAAATCAGGTAATTTTACGTGATAAAATTGTCTCCACAGATTACACTTGATACAAAATTTATTTATTCTTTTGCACGTTGCAGACAAAGAATTTTCGATTTCGACGATTGGAACGATCATGCTGTGGCCAACTACCGGCCATACTTGATAAGCGATTCGTTTGACGCGTCCATTTCCGCGTCGTGGCATATAAATCGAGAGATCAACTTGAACAATCTAGGTGGTCGCATAGTGGACAGTCTATCACTGCACGCAAGACCCGAACCCTATATCGTACGTTCCGATATCACAGTCATGCCGGAAGCTACTCTATACATTTATCCCGACGTCGTAATGGAGTTCGCTCCCAACGTTGGCATCTTAGTTCTGGGAACGCTGAAAGCCATCGGCGTGTCCGGTCACGAGATCATAATGAAACCAATGAAACGAATTGATGCGAGCGCGAATTCTACGTTCTCCAAGCCGACGCCGATGAGGAGTTCTGTCAATCTCATGTCGATGCCGGACGAGACAATTCGTCTGTGCAAAGATGGACGATGCTCCTCATTGCACAACGAAGGTAGAAATGCTAAATATTAATTTAAAAAGAAACCCGTTAATTAACATACTTTTAACATACTTTTAACATACTTTTCTATTCACTTACAACTTCTTTAATCTTTTCACTGTTTTCATATATTCAGCTGCAAGTGTTTACTTTCTTCTAACAGGATTCCTAGAGTATTTCAATAGAACGACTCTTCAATGGATCCCCCTCTGTGACGATCGATTCACCGAGCGCAATGCCCAAGTGGCATGTCGACAATTGGGTTACGACACCCTCAATGTCTACGTGTCGTACGATCGTAGATATGAGCTTCATCCCGGATCGTTAACGCGCGTCTGGTCTTGGCCCGAACCTCTGCAGGTACGATCACTTTACAGAATCGTTTTAAAATGAATCAATGAATTCTCTAAAACATAATGAATTCTCTAAAATACAATGAATTCTTTAAAATTTTAAATGTTTCACAGTGTTCTGGAAAAGAGCAGAGTCTCGAGGATTGTCAGATCAGATTGAACGGTCAATTATTCGGTCACCGTCATGAATGCCCATGGGATGGGAAATTTGTTTTCTTACATTGCGGCAAGCGGAACTTGGACGACGCATATGATTACTGGGGCGGTATACGCATCGCGAACAGCGAATTCGAGCATTATCTATACGAGCATCGCATCCACGATGTCGTGACACACGAAACTGTCAGACGCGTCGAATCAATTCTTCGATATATCAATATAACTGGCGCTGGAATTTTGCACTACGAAAAATTATCCGCTGTACAATCAATCATGAAATCTCCGGCAGTGATGCACGTCAATATAGATCGCAGCGCTTCGCATGGTATCAATGTCGTATCTCCAACGCATACGGTACGCCGAACATGTTTATATGCAGAAAATGCAAAAGAAAATAATTTGCATTGAAACGTTATACGGGAGACTTTATTATGTTTATGTATATTACAGGTGGAATTATTATTCAATACGATTGACAATGTCCTTGGCAACGGCATAAATATACTGTCCTTGACGGGAGAAGGTCGCGAAGCAGACGAGAGCTCATTCACGCCTATTAAGTATCTTAATATTCCTTATCATTTATTCAGCATGGTCGACATATGCGACACCGCGAAAGAAATCACGATCGAGGAGCGCGTAATTGTTTACTACAAATATGACAATTATCCTGTGAATTGCGTGAAGATCTTTCGCAGTACTTATAGAGCCAAGCCATTTGGATTTAGGTACGTAAAACCTTGTTTCGTATCGCAATATCCAAGCACGATGAAAATGAAAATCTAAAAATCTAAATTTGCAGACTTTTACAATTTAATCTTTACAACTCGACTGGCAAGCCAGGTCGTGCCGATGGTATAACTTTATACGACGGAGACATTTATAATATCACCACCAAGAAGATAGGCCATTTAGAAGTCAATACTCCCGATGAGAAGAAATTATTCAAAACGAAAAATCCTAGTCTTAGCATTCGATTATTCGCCAACGGTGCCAGTAATGTGCATGGATTCATCGCGGAAATTATAACTCTTCCAATATCTGCTATTGGTTTTAGTAAGTAATTTACTTGATATTTTATCAATGTAATATCTTTTTATTATACGTTTATCGTATATTACGTATTTCTCTCTAACTCATTTATTTTTATAACCGATAGATCGTGACGTGCAGCATAATATTTCCTACTCTGTGATATCTCACTGCCGCGAAGGCGCCGTAAAGTATGCAAGTGTCGGCGAGGTGAACGCTATAATGACACTCGAGCGTAATAAATTTGTGGATAATTGTGAAAAACTATATGGTAATTTTACCACATGTAAATCCGCAATATGGCTCGACGTTCAGAACACGCAATCGCTCTATTTCAGAGTAAGTGGTACGCTTAATTTTCTTTTTATGTATTGAAAACATGACAGAAGATTTCTAATTGTTTAAAATTGTGCTCTAGAACAATTTGATACAACGAAATCAAGGCGGTCTTTCCATCCGTGCCGATTCGAGAGGTTCGGCAACGTCTCTCAAAGGATGGATTCACAATAATCTTTTCACGGAAAATTTCAACAAACCTGCATTGTAAGTACAACATTGTAACTTATTTACAGAAACGAACAGTGACATTGCAAATCTTCAGATATGTCGAGGGTCGTCAGAGCAGCCCGTACCAAGAGGTGACAATATTTAGGAATTATTTCACGAAGAACAGGGCTCCCTACGATAACAACGTCATTTTGAAACAAGTAGTCAGCAACATGACACTTAATTATCTACACGGAAACCTTGGTATGCACTTGTTGGAGATTTCGGGATTCGAGAAGGTTCGCTTACCCATTTACCAAAGCACGTCTCACAATGGCTTCTACAAGTGAGTTATTTGTACTTATATATTTTTTTAATATCTTTCTGCTTTATATTTCTTTATTGTTATTATGCGGATTATTTATAAAAAAAAATTATCGGGAAAGCAATAAAATATTACTATATAACTTTCTAGAAACTACGCAGTCGATCGCGAAGGCCGTAGCACTATCATTGCCGGTACACCCGGTCAGCAATATGTCGACAATGTGTTCTTTAATCCCGATAACGATTACGAGATGCTCACGACGAACAGATCCCAGTAAGTTAAGGCGAATATAATTTAAATATGTATTATGAGAAGTATAAGATGATTAAAAACTTTAACATTTGAAAATGAATTTATCTAGACAATTGGAAATGTGGAAGTCTCACATAGACGCACGGCACAATTGGTGGGGCTACAATGAAACGTTGGCGGTGGCCGGACGTATTAGAGATCGCGGGGACTCACCTGAGTTATTGCAGGTGGATTATCAACCTTTCCATATGAACAATAAGTCCGTATTAACCGGCAAGTGTCCGCCAGGTTGGGACCTCGTCGGTGATACTTGTTATATACTGATCGGTGCACCAATGGATTTTTATAGCGCGCGAGACTTTTGCAGAGTAAGTCAATGTATTTTCATCCAACTGTATAATATTTAATCTTGTAATGTGTGCGTTTAGTTTCTTATTCTCATTTATTTTATGTCATCTGCCGATTTGTATTTTTACTGTTCTTTTTTTCTTGTTTAATGTAGTCGGCAAATGCGTCGATGCCGTTCATCATGGGGGATTATCTGCAGCTGTGGAAATTCGCGCGCAAGCAACAGGAACGATTCGATTATTCAGAGCGTGTGTGGGTGCAACAACTTGAACGCGTGGATCAATGCACGGCGTTCACGTATCAGACTATTGAGATCGATCATTGCGCGCAACCCAATCCATTCATTTGCGAGATTGGTATGTGAGATATGGAAAATAATAAATATATAAGAAAAAAAATAAAAGAATTATTTCGGCTTTTGACAGATCCCAAAGTCAACATCGATCCCCTGTCGTGGAGGAAAGATATCGTTGCGGTGGGTGTTTTGGGAGCTATTGGTGTCGCACTCGCACTGCTGACGGCGGCTATCGCATTGTGGGCATCCAAGTCAAAGAAGCGTAAACTCGAGAGACTGGAACGGCGTAATTCTATTAGACAATCGTTACATTCCTTACGATCAGTCGGCTCTACATCCGGCTTCACAGAGCTCGCTTATCGACGAAAACCGATCGCGGTAAGTACGAATTACGACAGCTGAGTAAAATTAATAAATTTCAATAATTTTTAGAATTAAATATATAATAGAAATTAAAACTGCATGAATTTCATAAAAGTTACCTGAAGATCTCAATGTAAATGGTTTGATTTTTTACAAATTAAGGAAACTTATGTGAACTTCCGACTAATATTCTTTTTTACATATTTCAGACGAAACAGTCCACAGATACGCTGAATTCAAATTACAAACGCATGTTGAACGGCGGCAGCCTGGATTCGATGGACAAGTCACAACTGAACTCCTCGATAGAAGACAATCAGAGTTACGACGTGTACGAAGCTCATAATCCGCGGTACTCGCCAAGCACGAGCGACTTTAAGAGCACAGCACAGAAGTATAGTGCAGCGCAAAGCGTCGATAATCCGGTCTTTGATCTGGCATATCGCAACGAGGGCTTCCGCAATCATTCCACTTTTGCGGCGAGAAACGGTGCAGAAACGGCCACTGTCGCTACCGCCATAAACTGGCCGTCGCAGCCGAACGTGCAGTCGACCTCGGTCGACGAGAGTCCCATGGTATATCCTAACAACGAGAGCTCGTCGTATCTCAACAACACATCCACATTACCGCTGCACTCCAGTATCGCGCTTACCGACTCCTTGAGTGAACTGAAACGCGACATCGAATCGTCGGCTGCTTACGATCCCGTGGATTATGATATAAGACGCACCTATGATACGGCCACGTTAACGCCGAGTCAAGCATCCGAGCCCGTTCCGGAATACGCGTCGGACTTTCAGCCATCAATACCACCGCATCCTTATCATTACGAATCCGAAAGCAGACCTAAAAGTGAGGCGTTGCTGGAGACTAATTTTGACACAGGCGAGGAGAAACCGTTACGCTCGAAGAGCGAGGTCTTACTCGAGACTAATCTGGACGCTTTTCTAGTCAACGAGCCCACGGAACTCACGCAACTATCGACGGTCGCACGAAGCAAAAGTCAACCGTTAGAGACAGCGATGTAACTCCGCGGATGTTGGCATTTAAACCAGTGTTGTCCATTTTCGGGCACAATCAAAGCGTGTGCCAAATGTCTCCTAGCGAGAAGCACTGCCAGCTATTGCACAATAAGATTTTCAATCGGTTGCAATATATTGCCGATTTAAACAACACGTGCCATTTCCAATAATCGCGAACTGGATATTGGAATACACGCGCACAGTAAATCCTGATAAAACAGACTGGAAATGGATTGGAGAATTGGCGAACATAATGGTGCGGACAATGCTGATTTGTTATTAGTCATAGAAATCGATGAAGAATTTCGTCATGTTTAACACAAGAGAACTCTCCTTAAATTTTAATCTGATAAGTGATATTGCGATAATTATTTATAACACATCAGATTGACATAAAAACTCTAAGAGAAATTTTTGGAGAAATTCATCGAATCCGCGTTTAAGGTGAATACTGTGTTCAAGATTTTCGATAGGAATCCAAGATTTTTGAGCTTGGCGAGGTGTTCATTACGTACAGTGTGAAAAATTTAATATTTTCATTGTTAGACTGAAACTGTCAATATATTCAAATATTGATAGTTTGATATATATACAGTTGAAAGGAACAATTGCATGAGTTTTTTACACAATACCATAAAATCTCAACATTCAATTCAGTTGACCTTTCGATTTTTCGAAATTGACACATATATTTATGCACAGATTTACATACATATATACACTCACATACATTTTTCACGCACAAATTTTCATATAAACTTTTTATATTATATCAGGTATCTAAACTTAATTCTAAGAATTCAACGTTGTTTCTTCATGTAATCTGCTTCTTTGGAGACTTTGAAGATAAATTTTATAGGTACATATTGCAAAATTTTTATGCAAAGCAAATATTAACAGTTCTAAAGGCCATATTAAAGTAACAAATGGTATAAAAGATCCAATCTTAAAAAATTTTTCTTTGTATGAGATTCATGCTCTAAACGTGTGTTAATACATACATTTTAATCATAGAAAAGAGTTTCCGAATTTAGAAAAGCAACAAAAAGCTTTTACGAAAATTATCGAAAAATATATATGACAAAATCTCTTTAAGGGTCGGTTGTCTTTCTGCAATCATATTGAATTATGACGTCAGAGGCGAGAAATGACATGTTAAAAGTTTCTTGCGTCGTATAGCTTTATCTTTTCCTTAAAAATATAATATTTTCATATTGTTAAAACTTGTAAAAGATATTAGAAAGAAAGATATCTGTCCAATAAATCACATAAAAATATAAAATAAATCTTGAAATAATGATACATTGCTTAGCTAATGATACACTGCTTTCTAGAGATAACTAGATCTAGTGATCTGATAATTTCTGATAGCTAAGCAGTGACCATTATTTCAAGAATTATTTTATACTTTTATGTGATTTATTGGACAGATATTTTACTTTCTGGTATTTTTTACAAGTTTTAAGAATACGAAAATATCATGTTTTCAAGAGAAAAGATAAAGCTATACGACGCAAGAAACTTTTTACATGTTATTTCTCGTCTCTGACGTTATACAACCCATATCGCGCGGTGAGAGAACTGAGCCTTAAGTATTCCAAAGAGAATAACTATTTGTTACAACGATATTACTTAATCTCAATTACGTCCATAAATGATATCTAATATCGCTAATTTAATAGACTGTTAATAACGACATCGTTGTTGATCGAATGCGAGCGTGTCCAACTCACCGGAGACAAAGCTCGCAGATGATTGCAAAGCAATCGATTGTTAACATTTTTTAGGATACGACGAATGTTTACGATTAAAATTTAGAAATCATTGAAAATTATTTCGATATAAATATATTCACAAAAAATTTAAAGATATATATAAATAACACATTATAAAATAATGTGTGATGATAAATATTTATCATCGAGAGGAGGGCAGGAGGATATATATCAATTTTATGTTCGACATAAAAACAGTATAATTAATTACTTAAGTCTCTTTACGTTTATTGATTTTGTTGCGAGAGATTTTGTTTCAAGCTGTGAGATTAAAAGCAAATCTAATATTCGTGATTAACGCTCGGTTTTCTCGTGGCACAATATGAGTTATGTGACGTCAGAGAAATGTAAAAGTTTCTTGCGTTGTATAACTTTATCTTATACTTTTCCCTTAAAACTATGAACTATTTTCGTATTCTTAAAACTTGTAAAAAATAAAAAGTAAGATATCTTGAAATAATGATTGAAATAAATCTTGAAATAATGATACATTGCTTAGCTAATGGTACACTGCTTTCTAGAAACAACTAGATCTAGTAATCTGGTAATTTCTGATAGCTGAGCAGTGATCATTATTTCAAGAATTATTTTACACTTTTGCGTGATTTATTGGACAGATATCTTACTTTCTAGTATTTTTACAAGTTTTAAGAATATGAAAATATCATGTTTTTAAGAAAAAAGTACAAGATAAAGCTATACGACGCAAGAAACTTTTTACATGTCATTTCTTGCCTCTGACGTCATAATTCAATATGGCTGCAGAGAGATAACCGAGCCTTAATATTATACTTAATATTCTCATTGCTCTTTGTTCGACGAATGAGGTGTATGTCGAATTGATCAAAGTGTCTCCTTATTAATCTAAGAGTAGAAAACAAACGAACAAGTTCTTCAATCAATCTGATATCTCATATTGATGACATTAGTAAGTTGGAGTTACCAAAATGTGGCGAATTTGTTACACTGCCAAGTGTGTCCAATGTCGTACATAATTCTCACGAGTATTAATAGAGTACTCGATCAATCGTCTTTAAGAGTATCTACATTACAAAACTGAGCTATATATAACTATGCTCTATTTATTGAATATCCGTGCAAAGAAAATGTGCATTTTATGTCGTACGTGCTCGAGCATTTACGCCACGATAAAAATTTATATTCGCCATAAAAATCACTCTTTTTCAGAGATAATTTTATGCGTTATTCGATAGACCTACTGTTTTTCCATTAAGTAAGGTGATCTCACCAATCTTGTTCTTACGGAAAACATTTTTATATACCTGCCTTTAGCAAAGTATCCGTCCATACACGTTGATTTAGCGCGATCGTAAGTGATTGCCTTTTTACAAGGTGCGCAATAAATAGGAAAGTTTTTGCTATACGAAGATTGCCCTAAGATGGAATTTCTCAAAAGAGAAGGAATATATGTATATGTATGCATGATAGGTACCTATTAGCAGAACGGAAAAAGGCACTTCTAACACAGCGTATATTTAAATTTTTGTAATGTGACTTTAATTAAGATTTTGATTAGCTTTGCCGTGCCATCAGTTCTCTCATAGGTACCTTGCGCGAATGGAACTTGATGTCACAAGGCTGCCTTACACACACACACACACACACACACACACACACACACACACACACACACACTATTATTATATATATATAT